CACTCTTTCTTCTGTAAGAATTAGAGCTGTAAAAAAAGTAGGGCTGAGAGGGACATGGCTACAGAAATAGGAATACAACTCATAAGGAAACCCCCAAACCAGCCAGGCTAGATGTCCTTCATCTCTCTCCAAAGAGAATTCACAGAACAGAGTGAAGGTACATCTGAAGGGAGAACTGTACGGAGTGAGTCCCAAGTTACCTGAAGCAGCAGGAGATGCAGGGACAGCACCAGGTGCCGACTGCATTTCCCCACTGTGCAGCACTGGAAGGACGCTTCCTACCTCCAGCAGCACTCCCGAGCTGTTTATGTGACCAGAAGCCACTGTCACTTCATTTTCACCAACCTGCCAAAGGAGGACACAACTGAAGTTCTTGGAGATACCATCACATCAGTTATTCTCTGCCAGATATGCACCTCCATGAATGTGTCCATCATTTGCTGTCTCAGCATTTCTTCTGTGCTATTGGACCTCTTCAGTCCCTGCCTGAGGCCTCTTATGCAAGTGCACAACATGACAGTCTGAAACTAGTTGTTGTTCTTCAGCAAGAATACAGCTGCAGTGCCACCTTCCTTTGGAAGTTACGCCACATACATGATTTCTCTACCTTAGTTCCTCTGTTAAAGGACCTCACAATCCATTACAGGTACCAGTCTCTCTACCCCCTGAGATGGCATGGAATTATCCCTTATTCTGAGTTGAGGGAAACTGAAGTACCAAGATGGAAAGTAACTCTATCAAGGTCACACAGTAAACCTATGACAGACCTTGAAGCAGATGTAGAACAGTCCTGATACAAAGAAAACCCAGTCTTCTACAGCCGTTATCTTTCCTTGCTCCACCCTATGTTACACTGCACTCTGCAAACATAGAACCCATGGAGCGTTTACCCAAGCTAAAAACCAGAAAAGACCCCAAATCTATTAAAAAAGAAAGTCAACAGCAATGTACCTATTCCATGACACACGCACTAACACAGGGAGTCTGTGCCACAGGCAGGCTGATGGCTGCTCTTTTCAGACTGGGCTCTGAACAGTGACAGCAATGGTTGCCCACCTAATGCTTCCAGAGTCACCAACACCAGAAAGGTCAAAGTGGCTTGTCATCACAGTGATTTTAGTAACTGTCTACAACTACAAGAAGACTGAAGCAATATTGGTCATAAACAACACTAAAGGACTCCCTACTCCTATGCTAAGACCCATTACAAGTATTGAAACTCAACTTCCTGCAAAGATGTAAAGAAACAATTGTGAGCCTAAAGTAGAAATCACCAAGAACACCTCCATGGAGACTGATGTGGATGATGCTGAGTAACACACGCCCTCCCCGGGGAGAACAATTTCCTCTAGCAAAGCCTGCAACTCCAACTCCTTACAACTAAGGGGAGAAAGCCAGTCCTATATGCTGAATGATCCCTGCAGTCCTGCACCCACAGTACTGCCAGGACAGGGTCCCACCTCTGTGGCTCACAGGGGTAATTGTATCTCTCAGATATCACTCCTGTTGGGACGCTCACAAAAACGGTATGTTTTAAGAAGCCTTTGCAGCTCCCCCTTTTCAGTGGGAGAGTCTGGAGCAAATTGTTTTGTGTGCTTGCATATATGAGCAGAGAGCTCCATACCAGCCTGGGGCTTGTGGGCAGGAGACTGCCCTTCTTCAGCAGCTCTGAGAGCAGAGGGGAAGGAGGCGGAGTTGCTTTTTGTCCTAGCATCTTTTTCTGGGGTGAATCATCAGTGACTGGGGTCATGGGGGCATCCAGGGGAGCAGAGCCTGGAGGGGTGTCAGGGATTCCAATGAAGGAGGCAACTGGGGTGCTGGGCAATGTCCCTGGAGTGACCTGAGAAAGAGAAAAACCACACTGTTCAAAGCCACACTCCACCACACGGACCAGCCCCACTTGCTCCTTCCCCCAAGAGCACTGATCCAGCACACCACAGACACCTACTCCATTCACTCGCTACACCTACTCCAGACATGTGCTTTCACCCTTGCCCTGCCCTGTAGTGCCATTTCCCAGGCACACACAGAAGACTGCCTGGCCAACCCACTGATGCCCCTACATAGCCTTTGGTCCAGGCACCTGATCATCACAGACATGGAGGAGGACACGTATCTTGAGCAGCACTGTACATCAACCACACTACAGTGCTACCACAGCGAAAAGTCTGCAAAACAAGGCAAGGGCTTCTCCCCAGGCTCCTGTTCCATGATGGATGTAGAGCCCCTTGTCCTAAGCTGGTCTTTCACTTTTACCATGGGAAGCATCCTTACCCCTGGACTGGCCTCGTCCACAGCAGGCTGAGACAGATCTCCCATAGCATAGTCTCCCCCTGGGGAGGTTGAGCCTGCAGGGGAGCGAACCATCACGCCCGTTAATCGTCGTGGTGGATTCTTAATGGCCTGACGAGCTAGAAGAGAACAGAAAAGAAAGGGAGATTCCTTGAGATAAGAGTTACCTCTGACTTTATACTAAGGAACCCTAAGAAAACAATTTATATTGTAGGAATTTCTTGCACCACACTAGGCTCAGTTCACAGATACTATTAGCACTGGGTGATAGACTTTAATTTCAGATTTCTGTAGCAGCTGGGTATTCACCACATCCACCACTGGTAGGTTAGTTCACTGAACTGCCCCAAGAATTATAAATGAATTAAACCTTCAGAACAAATTTATCTTCCTTTTATCTTTGACAATGGTAAAATTATTGGGAAAAGGGGTGAAAAGCCTGACATTCTAGCAGAGAGCTCCTTGCTCCTGCTTTCTCTTAGATGTATCTTTTCTACAGAATTTGTTCCCTTCTCAAAAGTCTCTGCATTTTGCCCTGTTACAAATACAGTGCTGGAAAGAGAATATAATTTTTCTTTCCAACAACCAGGGTCAAGGAATTCCTTCTGAACAGGTCTTAAGACTTAAACATGGACATACACATCTCCCTCTGAGGAGGAGTAAGGAAGTTCATTTCCAGCTTACCCTGATAAGCAGCATCTGTAGCCTTCCTCTTGACTTCTGCCTCCTCCTCCTCCATTTTCTTCTTTCTGTACACAGAACCAAAAGTTGCTGTCACACAGTGTCTCACTTCTCCTTAGTTCCTTCTGCAGCCTACTGACCCCCACCCCATTATCACCAGACAACAACGACCTGCCTCTGCAAGACTAAGGCTCAAATCCTCTGAGGAGGGAAGCAGAGTCAGAGGCCAGTCAGAGAAAGACACATTTGGTGGGAAATTGCACTTCCAGCTGATTATCGAAATGGAGGAGGCAAGCACGATGTTGCAAGCCATCACCAAGCTCCTCACTGAGAAACTCCACAAGACGTTCCACACAAACTGGTGCCCCCCAGTCTAAACTAAATCCACCCTCAGAGGCCAAAGCATGTGCACAGCTGCTCTGTTTCTCTCAACCCAATGTATGTGGAGCAAGAGGTGTCTGACAAACACACAGTGACAGGCACCTACAATCTCAGACGAAAGCATAGCAGGCAAAAAATTAAGTAACCCACATCATAATCTCGTTGCACAGCTCCTCCAGTCTGTTATCCATGTGTCCAGCCTGGATCAGCTCTGCATCTTTCTTTAGTTGCCTGCAATCAGAAAATCTTCTTTACTTATCTCTGAACAATACGCCCTAAGCAGCAATTTCACTCCAAGCACCATCCCACTTAGGCCACTTTTTCAAGACAGGACTCTCAGGTGTGCCACAGTTGAATGCCTCTGCTGCATACCTGTATTTCTCCTGTGTTTCTTTAATAATTTTCTTCAACTCCTCAACTCGTTCTGCAGTCAGCTTCCGCACAATAACATCCTCCACAGTTTCCACAACTTCTCCCTTCTCACCACGTTTTCTCCTACAGAGAAAAACCGAACAGCTCAGACATGAAACAAAGAAAGCCCCAGTTCTCCTGTCATAAATGGCTGCTGTCTGTCATTTGAGACACAAAAATGCACCAAAAAATAAAATTTAAAGAAAAAAAATCAACCTTCTCTTCCTGTTTCTCTTACATTATACCAGACATCACAATGTTCAAACAATCTCTTCTGAAAAGTGTATCTAATTCTTAAGTGCAGCCAGTGTTAAAGACTTAAGGGACAGATCAAAAATACAAGTCCACTGCAAATTCTCAATGTGAAAAAAAATCATTCAGCTTCAGAGAAGATTCTTAACACCGACAAAGAAATGTATTTTCTTCTCCCCTCAATCCAGTCTTTGCAACTCCAGTGCTGAAGATCATTCATCACTATCACAAACAAATACTACTTTTAAACAACCTGCCTTTAATTGAATCTGATGTGAAGTCTCAAAACAAAATGCCTGGATTTAGGAGTGAGAAATATTTGAAACCACAAAGCTGCAGTGATAACATTGATAAAGAAACTGTAAGAAACGACTGTAAAATACAGACAAATACAAAACAACTCCCCTTCTCACAACTGCTGTATTTTCTATCCCTATTCTGAATGACAGTTTTATGTGTAAAGTTTCTAGTACGTAGTGTTGTATTCCAGCCGAATAAATGCTGCTTTTTGCTGCATTAAGTCCCCAAATGCACACTGCCACTCTTAGAAATGGAGCTGTGGCAAAGGGCCCCAGTTGCCCTGCCGTGTACTGTAACGACAGTGGGGGTGTATGGAAGACACGAACAAGTACGGTGACCAGTTTTAGAACCACGCAATATTCAAATACTTTGTATTATGGGGAAAGGAGTCAAGATAAGGAGATATGGAAAAATGTTTTAAGAAATACCTTGGGTTTGCCATTTTCCCCCATCTGCCACACCCTGATCCCACTGTCCACTCACACCAGCCATCACAACTGAATTTCCTCATTCCTGTAGACTTTTTTGGGAGCAGCACTATCAAGTCCTTTGCTGTAACAACCGACAAGTGCACCCAAAACTGTTGCAGACTGCGCTTGCTTCAGGCTTTGTACTCACTTAGGGGTCTCTGTAGTCTCCAAGAGCTCTGAGTACTGAGATGCACAGTGCTAAGAAGAAACAAAATAAAGTCAGAAGATGCTGAAGAGTCAGCATCAGCAAACACCTACCAACAATGCCTACAGAGCCCTCCTACTTCAGAGGTCTAACACCTTATGAACATATCCGACAGCCTCCTCCAGAGTTCCTCCACAGCTATAATTTAGTGCAGCCCAAAGAGAGGAAGTGTATTCACTCCTTTACTCTGGCACTGCCCAGGCTGATCTTCAAAACAAAGTTAAAGAACAGAGGCTCCCAACAAACAATTTAGAAATCAAAGCGACCAAGCGCAATTAGGAGAACTGTACTGTAACAATTCTGTCTTTAATCAAAAATATTTCAGTGGAGAAGACAAAATAACATTGTATCAAGGCCAGTTTCATAACCTAACAGAAACAGCAAGCAACAGAAAAATCCCAACATCTCCTTCCTTGATTCTCTTAATCTTTTTTTGTCCCCTATACAATGAAAATCCCAGGTGCTTGCCCGAACAGCAGGACACATCAAAAAACATGGGCATCTACAAATTCCTGGGGCAAAGAATCCCACAGCTTAATTACATGCCTGGAAAAGAACAAAGTTATTTTGGTTTGCTTTGAACCTGCCTCCTGTGAGTCTTACTTATAGCCTCTGAACCCTGTGCTGGACAAAGCACTGAACAATTAATCTCTTTTTTATGGTAAGGGTTCCACCTTACTTAGCCATCCTTTAAAAGGAAGCTGTTTCAAGTCTTCCATCATCTTTGTAATTTCTTTAACTTTATCCAACTGTACTGTAAACTGAAATTTAATTTCAGACACAGGAAAAAGTATTTAATCTGACTGAAATAAAATTGATTTTTTAAAAATTAATTTTGGTATCTTTTTTAAAAAGAAGAAGTGCATTATCTTACGCAGCTGTCTTACATGTTGTTGTCTTACACTCATTTTTTCCAAGATTCAAATGTCAGCATCTTACCTTTTGGGAAAACCAGTCAGGCGGGCGTCCTGGCTCTGCGAAAGGTTTAATGGCTCTGCTGACTGAGACCCTACAGGAGAGAAATGGCAAGTTACCATCAACTTACTTTGTCCCCCAACCAACACACTGGCCTGCCTTGACATTCATCACTGAATAGCCCCATAAACACAATGAACTTGTCAGGATAGAATTGTTATGTTTGGGAATTATTCAAGTACAGTCCCTGGACTCAAAAAAATTTGCCTGCTCCTAAATAAACAACAGGTTCCCTCTCTCCCTTCCTTTGAAAAGCAAGTTTCTAGCTTCTGATGACACCATTACATTTCCACAAGAACCTTACTTTCATGGGGGAAAAAAGAGGCAGCAAAACAGAGCTACAGGTTCAGAAGCAATGCACAGGAACCTGTTATCAAACATCCTTCTTTACTACAACTCACCTCTTCCAATTTACGAACATGCCACTCTTTGTTCTGATTAATGCTTCTGTTTTTACATAGCACTTACAGAAGAAGCAGGAAGATTGTCAAGGTATACCTTTAGCACCTCCATCTTTAATACCCTCATCTTTGTTTCAAAGAGAAAGCAGAAGCGTTAATAACTCACTGTCGCACCACAAACCAGTACAGTGAAAGGCCCGCACCAGTCCAGCACAGAGCCCCGTGCTCTGTCCCGAGGACTCCAGGGCAGCTCGGTGCTACCGCAGACATGAGGCCCTCCGCTCCCTTACCAGTTCTGGTCCCCGCTCCGCATGACGGACGAGGCCAGGCAGAGCTTCTCGCGGATGGACCAGGGCTCCGTGGGGCCGGCGCTCAGCAGCTTGTGCTCTGCCGGGAAAGGGGCAGGAG